AGTTGCCAACGTAGCCATAAACACCAAATGGTGTTTCTGTAGACGTTAAATTGTCTTGCAACATCACGTTGACTCGATCCTGCTTCAAGCATTCCAATGGCTCGCAGACGCTCATTTTCGGACAGGCGTGGCATTTCGTAATGTTGAATAGTTTCGTATTTTTGTTGTTTTTCTGGGTGGTTTCGTTGTCAGCACGATGCTAAACAATGCATATGGAATCCCGTTAAGGCACATGTTTTTATACCCATTAGTGGGTTGTGAAATGCATAGGGCTTGCATAAATGTCAACTTTTGCATGGAATGCATGCTTTTCTGTAGCAGTTTCGTTTTTGTGACTTGATTCCATACATGTACTACAATATTGAAAACCAAACTTTACTTGTTTGAAAAATACACTGAAATGTTGGTCTCACAGGAACTTTTGTTGTCAAGTATATATTTTAATTAAGATGACCCAGGTGCACATTCATGAAGTAGTTACATTCGTTCAGGCACCTCACTGACATTTCTTTGATGTCCTATGTCCAGTTGTATTGTGTATATTTACTCATTAAGGACATATGTTAATAACGAGTTCCAGGTACAGTGTGGAGGGACCCACGATACGCTTGTATCTCAAGTGTCAAACGTCTTAAATAGGTTGCCGCGTGTCTACAATGTAATTGTATGACGAAAGGCAAACCCATCTAACCGTGATCTGATTATTGCTTCGACAGTCAATGTCATTACCAAAACGAACTGCAAGCATGTCTGTCTTTTGAATGTGCCTACTGCACCAGCTGCTATCATTGTCACGTTCGTCAGTATATCTCAGTTAATCTATGGACAACGTACTGTGTCTTGACGTGCATAGCCATTACGTTTACATCTATATACATATAGTTCAACAAAGAAATACTGTATCGTAAAGTCGAAGTTCTACCACAGTAAAGAATAATTAGTGTTGATAATGTTTGAAAAATCGAGCCAGTGTCACTACAATGAAGACCACCAAGAGAATGTTCTCGTCAGATAAGATTCATCAAGCTGCCCGAATGCGTAAATAAACAAAAGAATCAATCAAATGAGCATTATGACAGCTCTTCCTTGATGCATACGTTGGGTACAGAATACAGACATGCTTCAGTGGGCAGTGGATGCCTGTTTCCATGTGTGTGGTTAGCCTTTACAGCAGACTTATCTTTCACATGTGTCCAACATGATATTACCTTCTTTAAAAAGTATTGGTAAAGAATAAGTATCGTGACACCATGACTAAATCTAAGGCTCTCGTACAACATTACTTTTATATGTACACGAGCAATGGTATTTCGATTAACTTTGGATAGAGAAACAAGCGAAGATTTGAACTTGCATTGTGGTTGGAATATTATAGAAATCATCTTCTATGTAACTAGTGCGTCACAATGTGTGATCACATGTGTTCAATGTGTTCAATGTGTTCAATGTGTGAACTAAAGAAAGGAGTATACTCAACACGGAAGTAAACAACGCGCACAGTGTACAGTGTATACATAATCAATATGTTTCGTAGCTGGATTGTGCTAACAAGCACACTTTTTGTGATTACACTGTATAATGTTACAGGAGCAAGTTGGCAAACACATAAACAAGGAATGTCTGCAATGTGCATATATGTGCATAGAACAAAATGCATGTGTTTTCATCTCTAAACATTTAATTGATGTTTTCAAGGTTACCATATCTGGTCTGCCAGGTTTACCAAAAGTTTCAAGAAGATAGCGATTTTTATGCACATTCAGTTGTTAATACTTTTCGGCCTAAATGTAATGGCTTCTCTTTCTAATAAGATTAGGTTGTTAAGCTATCGGGGCTCATAAAACATTTTTTACAATATATAACGATAACGCAATATCGAGGTTAGCTGAAAATCAACGTGCCGCGTGTGGCACGTGTTGTAACAGACTTTTTGGGGCAGCATGATATTGCTGTACTGCCATGACCGGCTCTCCCCCATAGAACATGTCTGGGATGTGAAGGTACGACGCCAACGGCAGGACCAGAACTACCTGGTAACGCTAGCTCAGTTGAGCCAAATCTTGGTTGACATTTGGAACACCATCCCCACAGACTGTTTTCCAATCATCTGATGTCTTTCATTAACATGTCATGTATACCATTTAATAATTGCACACTTACCTTTTTCCGTTATTATATAACCAAACAACTTTATTGCCATAAACTGTCTGCAGTTTAACACATCATGGTAATGTTGGATAAATGATAACTTCTTAACGGGTTGATATAAAGTACACTTGGTGTTTTGTTTGGACATGCTAGTATGTATATATTATCAACTTTATCCGAGTACATTATGCAGGTACTCCATTCAAACATATATTAATGAAGATGCAGTATACTTTGTGCAGCTTTAGTAGGAGAAACGTTTTCCCCAGGTACTTTAGTATGATTTCTGTGTTTGTTGTTCGGCACTTCAGCCAGCAATATTCTTCATATATCGCTCCAGCATGTAAATAATCGAGTCACGACCAAACAACCCAGTGATTGATACTGTAGCTATGAGCAATGCCCCAAGCAGACGGGCCACGTTTACACGCAGGATACATGTACCAATTCATCGATTGATCACCCGATCCACTTAGTCGCTTCGTCTGACATGTATAGGCTACTGAATCCCCACCGAGGCACTATTACATATGAAGCATCCACCTATTTCATGTCCGTCTCTGTGGTAGAGCGTCCTTCCGGAGATCGGAAGGTTGGGGGTTCGATCCCCGCCCGCGTCATACCAAATGACGGTAAAATATGGTACTTGTTGTCACCCTGCCTGGCGCTCGGCATTAAGGGGCTAAAACAACAACTGAAAAGCTCGGAGTCAGTATACTGTGTCTGCCTGGGGTATTCTTGTTAAAGTGAGGCATGGTATCTCAGTGGGCTAGCACTATAAAATCGGCATTAGTCCGGACTAGTACGAGCAGCCACAAATATACGTGCATGCACGTCGCTTTATCAAGGCAATAGTTTTAAACGCTACGTTAAACCCCATTTCACCTCACCACAACATATTTCCTAAACAAAAAGTAGGTATAGTGCTTATAAGCAACATAAGCAGTAAAACCGAGTTATATCAGGTTTCTATGTCTCTCATGGTCGATTTGCCTTCAACGTGCTACATTGCGCACACAGACGGGTGACCATGAACTAGGGGAAACAGAAAGACGTTTTGCATATAACCGTGTTAGTAACTCAAGAAACTCAAGACGGCAGCTGAAATAACGAACGTCCTTGACATGGGCTTGCATTGGGAGCAATCTCGCGCGGTAATTGCTTTGCAGAAAGTATAGGACTGATATGCTTGCTTTTTACCATGTTAAAGTCTTAACTTATTGCTATTTACAATACATGTACAAACTAAATATGTAGCGCATATCATTTAGACAGAAACGTAAATCATACCAAATGAAGATCATACCATTTATTTTACGTGAGGTGAGGTGAAATTCGGTCGCGTTCAAGAAAAATGCACTTATATGGCGACGTACAAACACATGTGTATGTGTGTGTATGTGTGTGTATGTGTGCGTGTGCGTGTGCGTGCGTGCGTGCGTGCGTGCGTGCGTGCATGTGTGTGTGTGTGTGTGTGTGTGTGTGTTTGTGAGGTTGTACCAAGACGTATGGCGATGTTCTATTGCTATCCCACTGACATACCATGCTGCAGTTTAAGATGAATACCCCATGCAGACACAGACGCAGGGTAACAACAAGTACCATCCTTTAACGTCTTTTGACGCAGCCAGGGGATCCAACCACCGACATTCCACTCTCCGCTCCATCCACAAGACTACGGAGGCGGTCCCACTTGTTATGGTATTATTGGTATGATTATGATGATATGGAAAAGCATGCAGACCAACTATGCGTTAAAGAATACCTTATTTGGTTGTGTCAAGTGCTTTTCTGACAGCATCTTTATGTACTTTTAAATTATCGATATACAGCATAGCATTTATTGCAATATATAATACTTACGACGAACATCCTGCTATTTAAATATCGTAAGTCCATGTGACGCGACACAGAATCATAACTTGCTCTTGTATATATAGATAATTGACAAAAACGTCATTATATCTCACAACGAGGTATCGAATTTACACATACAAAATGTAACGAACGTGAAAATATGCAGATCTAGATACATCAATACATGCTTCGTCAGGATAACTTGACTTATGTTGTGTATGTAGATATTAAAAATGAAAGTAATATTTAGTCCCAGCTGACGTACTCTTGCACTTGCCTGCCATCCCCCCTTAAACAACATGTTCGTATTGACATTGTTAGTCTTAATAATGAGTTGTAGATTGCGGCATTATATATACTAAAACCAGGCAAGGCAAATGATGCTTTCTCAGTATTGTTCCCGTATATGATGACAGCCTCCGTGGTCTAGTTATAGGGTGACGTTAAAAGATGGTACTTGTTGTTACTCTTCCTGGCGCTCGGCATTAAGGGACTAACACAAGTAGTGGTTGGTTTGGAGTCAGTATACTGTGTCTGAGCGTGCTGTTTTCCTTAAACTGCGGCATGGTATCTCAGTGGGATAGCACTATAAAATAGGCACTATTCCCGACTAGTACAAGCAGCCACACATAGATACACATACATGCGCGTTGCTATATGAGTGCAATAATCGTTCCCCATTGCACATCACCTCACCTCCTGTACATGATAAGGGTTATTTCAAATCATATATGAGTGTAATATATTATTTGTTACAGCTAGGTATTGCAGGCTGTTCGCAACCTTCTATGCAAAATTAGATATGCAATAATATTGATATTTAATATAGATTTCTGACCAATGAAAGCACTAGATATTCATAAGATACAGCGACAGGGGCCTGGGAAATTGAGAGAAGATTTACTATTCGTTGAAGCGATCTTGTGATTTGTTTACCTTAACCAGTATAGTTTCCTTCACGATATTTGGAGGCTAATCTCTTTTCTATTTCCTCAGATCCCTGGGCAGCTCTTATCAGTGTCTTGTGAACTTCCACAGAGGTAAGTTGTGTTCAACGTCTTTCGGGGTTTCATCATCACACAGAAGGTGCGATGTTCAATGTCGCAACAAATATTGATATTGTTAGATCATGGATAAATCCGATTTACACATTGCTGTTGCTCACTTTACAGCTTGTGGAAGTCTGTTTGTTGCTGACTAGATACATGTACATTATGATGACTGCACTTACAGTCCCTGAAGAATTTTAAAGTACAAATACTAGAAGTATAAATAGCATGCACAGTAGGAGTCGAGTACTTATTGAAATCCCGATTGAAATGATTATCTTTTAAATCGTTATGCAATATTACGAATTATTCCCTGGTATGGTGTTTAACGGGAAACATTTTCTTACACTCAAGGTGTACCTGATCATATAGACTTGATAATGGTGTTTGTTGTAGTATTGTAATCGATGAAGTTTGAGAAACGTCTTTACCCCTGTATTGAAATATTCGTCCAAACGCTATTTGATGTTTCGGCAATTGCTATGAAATAAAGCTTCTTATAAACCTAGCCAGTTGCAGAACTTTTGCAATTATCTATTCTTTGATATACCCCCATCACCGTCGTGATGTATTGACTAAAAATCGGCGTAAAACCAAACTGTTCCCCGCATGCAAGCTCAGAAATACATTTAGTGATTGCCTTAACTATTATTAGCATTTGGTTCTGGAGCTGTTTACATTTTATTTTCAGCCGCACCATGTTGATCTTCTTGTCCTTGTTTTGTGTCGTCACGACGGCCGTGCAAGCAGGTAATTATTACGTTCAGTTTCGACTTTCATGTACGATATGTATTTGAAAACGAACAGGACGAAAATACACCGTTTGCCCCTTTGAAATATTTGCTTTAGATGTTTCCGTGAGCGGTTTTGTCGTGCGCTTTATGCTCCGGTCTACCCATACCCCAAATCTCCGTCCAAATTATGGATATCTTAAATAACATTACTTATTTTAGTATTTTAATGAACATGTACCAAAACAGAGTTTGACTTAAAAACACTTAGTGGATTGTTTATTGCATCAAATTGGTGTTGTATCTATCCATATCCATATATCTTATTAATACCTAACCTGAAATGTGCATATACAGCATGTCGTCCCTCTCTTGTACCCCAAATCAACGGGTATGCAAGGAAGTATAGTTCAGCAAGATCTGCTCATGAATTACATGATTACTTACATATTTACTTGGTACGGGTGGCCCAGTTCGCTTTGCAAAGTTGCGTCCCTTCGGCGTTACAGAAACCTATGATCGGTGGTTCGAATCCTGGTTTGCCCTGTCTATGTTTCTTTGTTGGTCGGCATTTTGACCAGCATTAGTTGGGCTTTCCAACATGAAACTGACACGCTGTGACATAAATGAAATACCATTGAAAGCGGCGTCAAAGCTAACTCACTCACTCAACCCTTCACAATCAATAAATGTAAATTGTAATTCTACAATCGATTTCCTTGTAAATTTGTATTGTAGTGGTTTTCGAGTAGGATCATTTTACATGCATTAATTTTAATAGGATTTATATTTTCTAAATCTGTTTCATCTAGGAATAATTTGAAAAAAAATAATAAATTCATATTTTTATGTTTTAGAATGTGGTCCTGGTTTTACGGGGCCTTGGTGTGAAACCAAGTGCAGTGACGGGTGTGCCGATGGAAAATGTACACTACACAACCACGGTGGCATATTGTGCTCCCAAGGTTGTAAGCAGGGGTGGGCTGGGGAGTCTTGTCGCACGCCCTGCGCAGAGCATTGTAAACGTTGCAACCGAACTCGGAGCAAGGACTGCGAGGAATGCCAGCATTCCTATTATGGTGATACTTGCGATCGTAAATGTGAGACGTGCGGACCGATGGGTTGCAACAAAGATGGCATGTGTAAAGAGCGACCGGTCAATTGTGATGGTGGAGTAATCTGTAGTGGGACATGCATCAAGAAATGCCGTTTCTGCAACACAGATGGAACATGCAGCAAATGCCAGTCGAACTATGCGGGCGGGACTTGTGAGACACCTTGTCCGAACTGCCGTGGAATATGCACACAAGCTGGCTGTCCCGATGGTTGCCGATGTGGGTATTATGGACCATTCTGTCAGACGCCATGTAGCAGCAAGTGCTCTGAATCTTGTGACAATATTAGAAGGTCATCCAATGACATATGCGACAAGCATAATGGAACTTGTCTTAAAGGTTGCAAAGATGGACATTTTGGAGAACGATGCCAGCACAGGTGTAATACCAATTGTAAAGCCTGCAAACAGATAGGTGGACAGTGCATCCAAGGCTGTCACGATGGGTACTATGGGGAGAGCTGCGAAAATGCTTGCGTCAACTGTAAACACGACAGATGTGCAAGGAATGGATTCTGCCGTGTATGTAAAAATGGTTACTACGGCCCTGCCTGCAACAGCAAATGTGAATCCATATGCACGTTTGCATGCGAGAGGTACTCTGGAGTCTGCCTGGGCCCAGCTACAAAAGTCCATGGTAAGGGGCTATTACCGAGCTTCATCTAATAAATCGATATTGTCATCTCATATTCCCCGTTGACTAATGGTGTGAAACTTAACCTTTATGATGAAAACTCTGAGGCATTGCTTGAATTAGTTATGGTCAAGTACTCGACATGGAAGGCGTTCCTTACTTCGTTTCCTTTAACTGTGGAATATGATGTGTTATGTAGAAGGTCATACATATTTCTGGATGATGCTTTATAATTGTGTATTGTGAGAACGTGTATTTCAATTCTAAATGTTTATTCATTGTTTCAGAGAGCGTCGCTGTTCAGAGCCCGAGCGGGAACACAGCAATCAGTGGTACTTATCTAATCATATATGTTGTCTGTTAATGTACATTTGAAACTTACATTTAATCAGTTAAACGAATTCATCAAAGTTATCAAATGATGTGAGTACCATGCAATGTACTTCGTAGAATATGTATGGGAATTTTGAATCAGAGGTGTATATAGTATGAAAAAGTAAACTAATAATGTCACTCATAGGACAACCCACTTAATGCAAAAGTCAAGTATTAAGGTAGCCGGCAGTAATTCCGACATGTTAAAATCCGTAGCAGTTTCATACTTAACATTATCAACACTAATCAATGTGTAGTTTGAATCATTGCTACTGTTTGTCAGCCCTTCTGATCTGATCTCTTGTACATCTCAGGACATTTTGTTGAGTGTTTCCTAATTGTTGCAGATTCTTTATAATTGTGTATTGTGAGAACGTGTATTTCAATTCTAAATGTTTATTCATTGTTTCAGAGAGCGTCGCTGTTCAGAGCCCGAGCGGGAACACAGCAATCAGTGGTACTTATCTAATCATATATGTTGTCTGTTAATGTACATTTGAAACTTACATTTAATCAGTTAAACGAATTCATCAAAGTTATCAAATGATGTGAGTACCATGCAATGTACTTCGTAGAATATGTATGGGAATTTTGAATCAGAGGTGTATATAGTATGAAAAAGTAAACTAATAATGTCACTCATAGGACAACCCACTTAATGCAAAAGTCAAGTATTAAGGTAGCCGGCAGTAATTCCGACATGTTAAAATCCGTAGCAGTTTCATACTTAACATTATCAACACTAATCAATGTGTAGTTTGAATCATTGCTACTGTTTGTCAGCCCTTCTGATCTGATCTCTTGTACATCTCAGGACATTTTGTTGAGTGTTTCCTAATTGTTGCAGATTCAGCAGAAATTGAGGCAGCAGAAACGAAATCGAAAGAGGAGGAGGGTCTACCATCCTTCGTGACCTGGCTGTGCGTTGCCCTTGGTGTCCTTGCAGTCATCTCCCTGGCCTCCGTCGGCTTCTGCCACTACAGATCCAAGACCAGGCGTTATCGAAGGCATAATACTACTACTCACCTTTTTGGCACCAAACTATACTAAATTGTATAAATCACGTATCCATTACGAATAAGATCTACAACTAATTGAAATCCAAAGAAACATTTTCTTTGAGATGCAATTATATCGTTTAGTTGCGATCATAGCTTGCCAATAATGACAAATGTCACTTAGCCCATTATTTGAATATATTTGTAAAGGCTTATCCTCTCATGGTGATCACACCTTCATGTTCTGTTTCCCCAGGAAGAAAGACACCGCTCTCCTGACACGTAGTATAAGTCAAGGGACTGACCCCGCCTCGGAGGTGCCTTCTGCAGTAACACCCAATAATGACTATGATGAAATACCGGAAATATCTGATGCAATCACTGGTATGACCCAAGTTAATATCGATGAAGGTCAAAGCGTTTTGAAAGTAGGAGTGGCCCACTTTGCTGAGGACACTGCGGTGTTAGGCGGGGTATGCATGGGAGTCAATATGGGAAAATGGAAAGATGTGAAATATCTGTCTGTTTCTGATACTGTTATCCCCGAGGTATACCTTGACATCATAGGGTGATTGAGTTGTAACTCTATTGTAACAGTGGTTACGTGTGTACATATGATTTCGGCTTGGCTTAATATTTGATGTCAGTGTTCCGCTTCAAAATTGTTTTGGTCTTATTTGTTGTTTAACGCCGAACTCAGCAATATTCAATTTATATGACAACGGTCTGTAAAATGCGAGTCTAGATCAGACAAAACCGATGACTAACATCATGAGCATCACGGAATTAGGATACGGTGACAAGCAATCAGCTCAGACACCGAGCCTGACCACCTGGCTCAAATAGTCGTATATTTAAGCACAGGTTGCTGGTACCCTATGTTCCTAGCGGAGTCTCAATGGACATACCTTTATAAGAACAATGCTGGATGTTCAATCGATACTGAATGATGAGAAATGAAAGTACGAGTCCCCAGTTCTGTGAATAGTTTACATGCAATAGGAAACTAATGTATGTAAGTGCACATAGATATTTGTCTTATGTCAAATTGAGAGACAGTGTTGGCACGCTGTTACGATATGCAATAAAAGTTTGTTGTACAGATGCGATATGTATTATAAGATGTCCATATGCCGTAGTCAAAATGCAGGTCTGTAGAGGAGGTATCCGTGTGATACTGCCTGTGTGAAAACACATAACACCGTATTCTAATGGTGTGCTTTCCTTGACGTTTTTACCTTATGTGCAATGTCATTTTGTACATTTTTGCTGTTTTATTGATTTAACTGAGAACCTAGCATATGCATTTGATAATATTTCAATAACGATGTGCTTAATTTCAATAACACGTGAATATGTACTTTCATATTATCATGCTTTTAAGAAATAAAATAGAATAGCTTGTAAACACTTGTACTATTTTCTATTCCATATTAGAAAATGGCACTACGCCCATATGACGTTTCTTGAACGGTGAATTATGTCCGCAGAGTAACTGTATAACATAGAAAAGTGGTTCACGATTAAAACGCACACAAATTGCCGACTTAAAGGAATCCAGGAAATCGATATTGTAACATAAACTATTGAACTGTTTGAATTTCTCAAACAAAATATTTAGTGAAATAATTGTGGTACCCCTAGTTATGCAAATTTAAAACGCCTGACATGTTTGTAAATCTCAAAAGAAAAAAGATAACGGGTAAAACATATTGCTTTTTCGTCAGGCTAGAATCAATAGTCCCAGCGGCGCAGCGGTGACTTGTTGTTTAAAGCTATGCCAGGATTAATTCCAATCCCGAGATTCCATCGATTCTGTTTCTTGGTACATTAACACCGCACCGTGCTCATGGGTTTCACAAACATTGTTTCGATGTGCTATAACTGGAGTACATGTTCACAAGTCGGCCTCAATGCCAACACATTCGCACACACTCAACAGGTCGTCAAAATACAGCGTCACCGGCGTAATTTGACACATCAACAGTTCCGAAGATTTATACCATGATGAATTCGTACATTACGTCGTTAATACAATGACTTTTCCCGGATGTAAAGAATGCGAGGCGTAGCCTTATATCTGAATTGTGTGTTGTAATCACAGAAGAAACTGAGCCTTTATCTGTTATCTGAATATGCACACCACTGTTGCGGACATCTAACAGCAGGGCAAATGGTAGTGTGGCTGACCGTGCCGTTGTCAGATGTATGCAAATGATAATGTAGTGTGCTAATAATTTAAAAAAATATATATAAAACTCAAAACAAGACCCGTGACGATCCGGGGTAGAATAGGTCTTCAGCAATCCATGCTTGCCGTAAAAGGCGACTATGCTTGTCGTAAGTGGCGACTGACGGGATCGGGTGGTCTGGCTCGCTGACTTGGTTGATGCATGTCATCGATCCCAATTGCGTGGATCGATGTTCATAATGTCAATCACTGGATTGTCTGGTCAAGATGGTAAAATATGCATTCTCTTCTTATTTAAACGTGCTTGAGTTCTGAAATGGTCAGCACATTGAAACCGGGTGCCGTGCCAAGAATTAGTAACGTGTTAGTTTTCAAATCCAATATTCTTCTTCTATCTCATGAACATCACATTGCATTAAGTATTTTACTGGTTGTATGACTTGAGATAAGTAAAGTGAGAGCTTCACCTGAAAGCTGACATGAAAATGTACACGTACGTGTAAATGAGATGAAGATCCGTACAAGCCGCGTGCCAATGAAAAGTTGTGCCTACTTAGAAATAACAGTGAATACAGACTTCCGATCAGAAAGAAGGCTGGCGAAATGTAAATAAATTAGAGCCTTTTACAAAACTACAGATTCTCCAGAAAACATTTCACCACCGAGTCGCGTAGAACGAATCCGTCTTTGTTCGATATTTATGCATCTGAATAAACACACATGAATAAGACTGAAAGGTTACCTTGACTATGTGTGAACAAATCCATCGCGAAGTCACTGTTTCATCGAACAAGCTAGATAATATGTACATGTGACCTGTGAGTGAACTGCTGACATGTAGAAACCTCCATGAACGTCATACACGATACTGCCATTTATCATTATAAACTGATTGCATGTCTGCTTCCTCCGAGATTTGTAAATAGCATACGGATGACGGCCTATCGTGTGTATCATGTACATGATTCTTATGTAGACATTTCGGTGGTGAGGTGAAGTGAGGTGAAATGGGGATTAACGTCGCGTTCAATATTATTGCATTTATTAAGCGTGTATGTACGTGTGTGTGGCTGCTTGTACTAGTCCGGACTAATGCCGAATTTATAGTGCTAGCCCACTGAGATACTATGCAGCATGCCCTCTCAGACACTGACTCAGAGCCGACCTTGTTTTGGGCCACAACAAGTATATTAATCTTTTAACGTCACTTGGTACATGACGCGGCCGAGGATCTAACCCGCGACCTTCCGCTCACTCTCCGAGTGGCCGCTCGGATATATATATCTTTAATTTCTACTTGATTGTTTGTAGTAGATGCAATGAAAAGTATATCGGAAAGACAAAACTTAAATTAAAAAGAAGAATGAATCTTCACCGTTCACAAATAAAGCAGCCACACAACCGCACCATTCCACTCAGTGAACATTTAGAAGCATGTGGAAACGGCAACTTTTTAGTTTTCCCGCTATATAAGCTAAATTTTGACCATGAACCTACATTGTTTCAAAAAGAGCAACATTTCATTCATAAATACGCGCCTAAGGCGTAAGTTATTTGTCCATTTTCACCTTGGTATTGTGACGTCATAGTTTCCTAAATGTTATGACGTCACGTAACTATATGTTACTACTTCATGTCCGTTATTCAGTTATGGCCTAATGAGGCTCGAGGTACGAGTTGAAAGCGCTAGCCTATTAAAACTGTGTTCAATCTTACTCCACTTATTTAATTATTACTATATATACGTATCCATATGTGTGTGTGTGTGTGTGTGTGTGTGTGTGTGTGTGTGTATTAACATGTTAACGACATACATGTGTATTCTGCCAATTTTGAAAACACACGATTCTGATTGTCAGCCATTGTTTGTAGGTATTTTGAAGTAATGATGTGTTTATGTACAATTATAGATTACAAAGTGCAGAATTTCTGTTTCTGTAATTTTCAAAGTATATGTCTCAATAGATGACGGAAAGAAAACACGATAGCAATCGACTATATTTCCAGTTTTGGGGACAACAGTGAACTTAAAATTTAGTTCCTTCCTACATTCGACGGTGTCGTCATATCACGTGCGTCACAGTGAATGGTATGACGGGGTGGTGGCGACGTGCGTTGTAGGCCAACAACCTTCTATGGCTTTCTCCATCTTCTTAGAGGTATGTTATTTAGTATTTCAGGCGATAGTGCAGTTTGTCTGCCATATATGAGTTAGTCAAGTGAAGCCAACTTTAGCTTGTTTACGAGCCGCTGTGCTACACAACTTCCAGTGACTGAAAAATAGGTAATCGTATTGTTACGATATATAAGATCAATGTTCGTCTTATACAGCGCCTTACTTCTATATGGGCTAGTATAGGTGTTTCTTTAATTTATATCGAAAGTCCACTCAAAACACTAGAATCAAACACTGACGTTTCACTGAATATTTTCGCTAACGACAAAGACTTTGCGTTTAATTTTGTGTCATGTCGGTAAGTGTTCCTGATTCAAATTCCGTTTCAGGTAACCTAGCTCCACATTGAATACATATAATGTTGATCTTGTAATTAATAAGAATAGCTCCACTAAGACACGTGTATAATAACTGTGTGTTGATGTCATATTTCACAGAATCTATACTCATAAAGTGAGAACGAGCATAAGTGTGGTGCTGAAAAACCTACTAACATACTCGGGGCGAACCGGGATTCGAGCTCACATTCAAAGGTTTCTGGCATGCCTAAGGGACGCATCTCTGCATAGCGATTTGCAACTGCCTGAACCATAAAATAAGCACTAACGAAGTTAATATATTTGTCTTTGAACTTTATTGTGTATTTGTAGACGATCATAGCACACTGACGATCATGTTGAAAGCCTTTTTAGTCTCATCTAGAGTATTTTTCATTCTTCAGTTCAGCGGTCATGTCAGTGGGTCACCCTGGAGGGCAAAGGATGCGCGTTTATGACAAAGGTGAGTAGTAATTGTTTCCTTGATTGGGTCAAGGCTTGTATGTTTCTGTTTCCTTCGACAAGCTTGGTTATTTGCCATCATTTTGTTGGGAGCTGCAAGAGGGGTAAGTCATGTTTGCCGTTTCTGCTGCCGATCAGATTAATTTTTTTTCATCATGAGTTCAAAAATAGTAGAGGAAAATAAAACCAAAAGATCACTTTTGATATGCTTTTCATCTAACATGTTTTAATTGCTGCAGATTCAAGATAAGTAATGGCATTTTTTTTAGAAATCAGAGAGAGTAACTTATGTTGTTGCATCCTGCTCAGGAGTCATTGTACAGGTAATGCCAGCAACTTCATTTTGACTTTTTTAATCAACTGTTTTAATTGTGTGCACAATATATTACAATTTAGTACTTAAGCGAAGTATAAATCGATTTTTTTTTTGAAGATTTTGACAGAACAGAACATAACTATTATTTTTACGTTTTGGTTTAATAAATTACGAAATTGCATGAAATATCGAACAAAATTGACAACCGCTGCCTTGTAAGGACCATGTGTACTATAACTATATTATATTTAATAATTATATTTTCTTACCGAAAAGTGCCATTGTCATTTGCATGTGCAAAAGCCCCCTGAATGAAGAAAGATTTACTTGAATATTTTTAATATCGGTGTGCACATCAATACGCATAACCATACTGAGGCTACATGTAGTTGCACTGAATAATTTGCAGATACACTTGCAGATAACTTTGTTTTTTTAACTTTGAAAGTCTCTTCAGGTTTGTTTGTTTGTTTGTTGTTTAACGCCGCACTCAGCAATATCCCAGCTATATGATGGCGGTCTGTAAATAATGGAGTCTTGACCAGACAATCCAGTGATTGACATCATGATCATCGATCCACGCAATTGGGATCGATGACATGCATCAACCAAGTCAGGGAGCCTCACCACCCGATCCCGTTAGTCGCTTCTTACGACAAGCATAGTCGCTTTTTACGGCAAGCATTGATTGCTGAAGACCCATTCTACACCGGATCTTCATGGAGGGTGCACATGATTTTAAAGCATTTCATATTTTTAGTTTTAGGTTGTTTAAATTATATTTTCAGCTGCAAAATGTTAACCTACTTGGCCGTAGTCTGTCTCCTGTTCGCGCCTGTGCAAGGAGGTAACTATGACTTTCAGTTTCGACATCCCACATCATGTAGCGGGACTGTTGGCCATGCTCGCAGTTTCCAAACACAACCTCCCAACATTAGGAATGTGCAACCGAGATATGAAACAACAGTCTTTGTTCCCATTTGAGGCATTAACAGGCGACTTGTATATCGAATAAAGTGAGTGACTGAATGTTGTTTAACGTCGTAATATATTTGACCATGGTGTGGTCTGCTTGGTTTCATGAAATGAATTAAAATGTTATGAAAATTGCGTTTGCAATTTTAACTGATGTTTTTCAGTCACGAACGTAGACATTTTAGAAATAAAATTTGTTTGGCCATCATGTGTGGCTAATAGATGCTGGATAGGCCCAGAATTGTTATTGTAAGATCACGAGACAAAAGTCCGCCTGATCTAATATTACAATGTTAGACTAAAGTTGTGACGCCGAAAATTGTGCAAGAGCCACAGACCCGTGGCTCTACACCCGTTGTATAGGTGAACTATGGCCCGGGGATCTATTTGGTGCTGGCCTTGCCGAATGTAACTACTCGGGTTGATGGAAGGCGCGTTCATGTAGTGAAAGACATGAGACATTTTGTGTCCATAGACGGAACTCCTATTGGTGTGACTCCGCATTCAATTGTTGCATTTCAGAATGTCGTTCTGGTTTCACGGGGTATAAATGTGCCACAAGGTGTGCCCCAGGCTGCCACAACGGAAGCTGTAGTCTACAACGCCATGGTGGAATAGCATGTGACGATGGTTGCAATGATGGCTTTTCTGGGGAATCATGTCGTACCCGCTGCTCTGGACAATGCGAACGCTGTGAGCGATATCAGAGTGAAACTTGTCTGCAATGCAACTCTGGGTATTATGGTGACTTTTGCCAACATAACTGCGGATCTTGTGGGGCGGCCGGGTGTGATAAGGATGGAATGTGTAACGAGCGACCTCTTAATTGTGATGGTGGAGTTATTTGCGGGAAGACATGTATCCAGAATTGCCGGCGGTGCACCCACACTGGAACGTGCAGTGTCTGCCAGCAAAACTATGTGGGCGACAGTTGCCAAAAGCTTTGTAAGAACTGCCTTGGAACATGCACACCAGCTGGCTGTCTCGATGGCTGCAGATGTGGGTATACTGGTCTGTTTTGTCAGAAGCAGTGCAGCAGCAAGTGCTCGGAAACCTGTAGCAACAATGGAAGCTTGTCCAGGGACATGTGCGACAGTGTGGATGGAACTTGTCTTGAAGGTTGCAAAGATGGCCATTTTGGAGAACGGTGCCAGCACGGGTGTAATAAGAATTGCAAATTGAACATCTGCGTCCAAGAAGGCGGGAAATGTCGCCATGGCTGTAACAGTGGGTACTATGGTGAAAGCTGTGAACATGCTTGCGACAACTGTCAGAAGAACAGGTGTTCCAGGAATGGACGTTGCTATGAATGTAAAAATGGTTATTTCGGCCCGGACTGTGACCTGACATGTGAATCCATATGCAGCTTTTCTTGTGAGAGGTACACTGGAGTCTGCGTGGCCAAAAACACAACAGCCGATGGTAAGATATGTTTACCGAGCTTCATCATATATAGCGATCATTCCATATTCACCCTCGATCGCACTTTTCATGCTTACCGTTAATAAGGAATGGGACATTACCCGAATTATGTGGAGCCAATACTTGATTAGTACGACATTATTGGATTTTTCTTTCATTATCGCATCGTATTTATTAAATCAAATGATTCAGTATTGAAGGGTGCTTTATCAGTGGTATATGATCCTATCTGTTAATTAAATATGTTAATTCAAATCCTTATTTATGGTTTCAGTCACCAAACAAACAAGCGGCGCTACACGAGTGGGTCAGTTGTCCGTCGTCAGTTCGTCGACCCAGAACATCTCCGAAATCAATCTGGCAGAAGCGAAATCAAAACTGACCGCTGGTTCGCGAGGCATCGTGTTCTGGTCATGCATTGCCGCCGGCCTCGCTGTGACTACAGTCCTCACCCTGACCTGCATTGGCTTATGCCGACACAGATCCAAGAAACGGCGTTTGCAAAGGCATAATAATAGTCCTTACCTTCTTGGCATCATATAAGTCGCAAATGCATAAAAGCATGCTATACAATGCGTAAATTACAGTCATGTTATGGAAATCCAAAGTCATCTCTGTATTTTGAGAGGTAGGGTTGAATACGTAGAGGCGTGGACATATTTGTTTTCCGAAATGAATAACTATCAATTGAATATGGATATAAATACCAACGAATGAAACAGTCAGCATCCTCGCATGGCATTTACAGCTTCATGTTCTGTTTCCCCAGGAAGATGGAGACGATTCCCCAGGCACCTAAAATAAGCCAAGAAGACCTTGCTCCGGAAGTGCCTTCTTCGGGCAGACCCTATGCCTGCCAAAATGACTATGAGGAAATACCTGACTTGTCTTATGAAATCCCTGTTTTGACCCGAGTTAATATGGATGAGCACCAGACCGTTGTAAGAGGAGGAGACGCCCGCCCTGCAGGAGACGGCAAGATGCCAAGGAAGGTTTACCTGAAGGACAACACGAGAAGGTGCAGATCTAAAGATGTCCATGTAAACAAGTACCTGTCCGTTGTGGACACTGCTTCCACGGATGGATACCTGGACATCATAGGCTGACTCTAGCCGTATGTTGTGCCTGGTGCACATACTTTAATAATGGACGGATACAATTACTGTCTCTACTGCAGACAGTGTGTTTTTTCCTTACTATGTCAACATAATGAATATTCCCGGAATGTTTAAATAGGGGGATAACTTGTACATAAGCGGAAACATTTATTGGTTTTGTTGAGAAGTTTAAACGCACTTTCTGGTTAATTCACGGTTGAAAACCTAGACCTTGTGTTTCTAATAATGTTAGTGATAGTTGTAAATATATACCTCGGTGTGTCAGTTTGATGTGAAAGGACACTCCCGAAGCGATGAAGGTCATATTGAAACTCACGATCACACGTTCCTGTGCAGCCTTCAAATGCTTGACGATTTGTCAATACCATTGTGAAAAAGAACAAAATTTGTTACAAAGTTTCACAAATCAGGCAGAGTTTATGTAGCGGAAGTGGCCATTGACGATTGTTCCGTATGTAAAATTATGTAAATATATTCTTACTTTTATTGTATATCTTTAGTCATCATAAAAAAAAAATTGTTTTACTTTACATTTTCGCTAATACTTGTATATATTTGAGATATGGAATATTCTTTTCATACTCTGAAATTTGTACATTTTATTTTTTTATTATAATATTTTAAAGAACACTATGCCTCATGATTCTGTAAAAAAAGCAATGTTGATGTAATCGCTTTTTTAAATAAAAAGGAATGGATTAAATGGGTACTCTGTGATGTTCTCAAGGGAGATAGAGGTTGACAGCTCGAGTCAACTCGCGCGTTAGATTCATGACAGTGCACTCTACATCAGGAAGTATTAAGTGGTGATTTTCCTGTCAGTGAACACGTATTGAGAGTGTGCCCTGAATTAGAAATATATCGACATGTAACATCATAAGGCGAATCACCCAAGGGCAGGTAGATGTAAATGTACATCGGTAACTATTCCTGCAGTGTTTAATATGCATCAGAATGGATAACAGATCAATGAAGATCCGGGGTAGAATAGGTCTGCAGCAACCCATGCTTGTCGAAAGAGGCGACTAACGGGATCGGGTGGTTGACGCATGTCATCATACCCCAATTGCGTAGATCGATGCTCACGGTATCAATCACTTGATTGTTTGGTCCAGATTCAATTATTTACAGTCAGCCGTCATTTATCAGGAATATTGCTGAGTGTGGCGTTGAACAACAAAGAAACAAACAAACAAACAGGGTGGATAACATAGGAAACTAAAAAAAACCAGATTTCTTCAAGACAACGTCTTCCTCACCACAATGGTTTTTCTCAAGGTATAAACATACCTTACAGCATAGTGAGTGAGTGAGTTTCGCACTATTGCAGTAATATCAAACAGGAAAACAAAGGTAAAGCTTCAGGCATAACAGCGAGGAAACAAATTGCTAACTAAACTGTAAGTGTTACTGGAATAAGTACATGTAGTTTCATTCTGATCTTACACTAACCTAAGCTACGACTGTCACACATCTGCATAAAGTAATGGAGTTGCGATGGTCTTAAGGGCCAGCACATTTAAAAAACTGTAGGCCCAGTGGAAAAGCCTTAGGTCCAAACATTTCAGCTGAAGCAGGAGTGAGTGAGTGGGTTGGGTTTAACGCCGTTTTTAACAGTATTCCAGTTATATCACGGCGTGTCAGCTTAATGTGAGAGGAACGCCCGAAGTGATGCAGGTCTTAGACATTCACCACTTCGGTGAAACCCACGAGCACCGATATGATGCTGACAAACCTAGAAACATAATCGGGGCGAACCGGGACTCGAACCCACAATCATAGGTTTCTAGAGTGCCCAAGGGACGCAACTCTGCACAGCGAATTGCGGCGCCCTAGCCTACATTTATCAAGGAAATTGTCATGCTAGCCGTGATTCGTTCACCATTTAATTTTTAGGTCTAATCCTACTGTTTGTAAATATTAAAGTTATGTTTATAACATTATTTAAATAATGCATTAATAACTTAATAAAGTTCGTTTGTAATAAAAGAAATTAAGGTAACACATTCATAAAGTCAAGATTAAAGAAGCGCAAATTATGGCGATTTTCAGCAATTTTAAGATTTCTTAATAGAGCTATCCACTAACTTATTTCTTAATTATTTTCGTTGTTAAAGTAATCGGAATATTATGATAATAAATAAATAAATTTAAATACGATATATCATCACATGTTTTCCGGATAATAGTGGCTTTCTGATCTGTGACAGGAGAAAATACCGGGAAGATTTCGCAGCTTTGAAGATTCAAGACAGTTAGAAGATTCGTTCGATGTTTGGTATCACTAGAAAGCTCTGAACATGAATAATATTATATGAACCTCGCCAGGGGTATATTCGTAGTTGTAACAAGCGGTTTTATTGAATAGAAGTTGGTTTCTAATTACGCTTTTGCCGTAAACTAATATAAGGATTGTGATTGGTCCAAATCAAGCACATTACGTCAGGCAGCCAATCAAATTATAGCAATAGGTATCACCCTCGTGTTTGATTTTAAATTTACTTCAGTGTGAAAGACTGAGTTTGCTGAAGTTGAGAACAGTTACATGTTCATTGCAGTGAATATCGCACTTGATAATTATTTCACTGCAATGAACATAATACTGTTGTCAAGAGTTACTTCCCTTCAAATTGTCTCCCTTTATCGGTAGTGTCTGGCCCGTAGACAAACTGTTGACGTCCATTTTACTTAAGTTACAAATTGACAAGGCAAAATAATGACAGATGGTCATTTATGGAGTTAATATCTCGTCTTGCCTTTTTGTTATTGTCTCATTTAACTCGTCAATCGAGACTGTTCGTATTGCAAAACGCCATCACTTGACCACCGTGTATTCTGTCACTTCCCACAGCTGTCTCGTAGTTTTTCATTTTGTAAAAGTTGATTTTGTATAATATTATGATCATATCTAAATGTATGATAAAAACTTTTCGTGACCCTAAACATTTTTTCATACTTTTGTTTATATGTTTTTGATTTTGAAAACACGAAACCACTTTTTAAGTCGCAAATAGAAGGGGTGGTGAACCATCCCTGTGTAGGGAGAATTTACGTTTTGAAATTTTACATTTGTAATGAAATAATTTAATTTTCCGGTAGACTATACAAAAAGTATATAATGAATAGGATATTCCATGAAATATGCTCTCTATATATTTCAGATTCAGTCGAAAGTCTTTGGTTAAATCGTGTTATTTTGAACGTTTTAAGCAGGAAATCGCGACCTTTGTTTAAAATATGGAACTTGGTTGATATATCGTGCTTGGTTACGATCTTTGACAAAGATTCCCCGTGTATATATTTTGGCTTTTTTAGACATATGTTTGTTGATTTTATTTATTACTTTATTTTATCATTTACAATGTGCTTGAAACGTCCATATGGTCCAAGATTATAATCGTTCCATCCCTTCTGACAATGCAGACCTGACACATCTGTCTGTACGTGTACGTGCATAAAGAATTGCGGCCTGTTGTCGGGATGGTTGCTCTTGTGTCGACATCCTCATCTAGCAGGTGCCTTGGTAGATTCGACTGAAACAATACACAACTTATAACAAAACGATTAAATCCAAGCATCATTGCTGCACTTATTTGATTTGCTCAGAAGGAATATAATATGAGTATTGTAAAGACCCAAAATAATGTGATAAGAATGAGTCTATCCGATCGTGTGTATCGCAGGAATCTTTAAAAATAAATAACCATTCATTATTCGTGTGTCGAATCAAACACACATACAGTTCTGCATTTCTTTAATGTATATATTTTCTATTCCTCAACCCAAGGAAGGTGAATTCAGCAGCAAAGTGAGAGACATCTACAGGAAGGAAGGGATATCTCCTTCATTCTTGAACACCCCTCAGGGAGCCTGTTTAGAAAAGGCCCCAAGCATTCTACTGTTTGACACAAGAGGCGAAAAAAATGGACATTGCTAGTCATTCTCGGTGACTGTCTTAGGCGTTGCTCATGCTGTCAATCTCTGGTTCCTGTGACTCGAGTATAAGGCGAAATATACTTGACTGGGGCTCTACATGCATGACATATATCATCCTTCAAGTAAACAGGGGTGTGTGTTAAAGCACAATTGTAAGATCTGAAATTTACCAGAAAAAAAGAGAATGATTAATGGGCAAGCCCAAAGAGAGCCGTCTCGAGAGCGGCATGTACAATAGTGAATTTAACAATTACGCTATATGGTGTGCATGTTGCATACATGTGTGTGTATGTGTGTGTGTATGTGTGTGTATGTGTGTGCATGTAGCATACATGTCTGTGTATGTGGGTGTGTGTGAGGTAATGCTTTACGTCACATCGGCAATATTTCAGCCAGATCGTGACGAGCGTCTGTGTATGTGTGTTGATGTGTGTGTATGTTGCATACATGTGTGTGTATGTGTGTGTGTATGTGTGTGCATGTAGCATACATGTCTGTGTATGTGTGTTGATGTGTGTGTATGTTGCATACATGTGTGTGTGTGTTGATGTGTGTGTATGTTGCATACATGTGTGTGTATGTGTGTGTATGTTGCATACATGTCTGGGTATGTGTGTTGATGTGTGTGTATGTTGCATACATGTGTGTGTATGTGTGTGTATGTTGCATTCATGTGTGTGTATGTGTGCTGATGTGTGTGTATGTTGCATACATGTGTGTATGTGTGTGTATGTTGCATACATGTGTGTGTATGTGTGTGTGTATGTGTGTGCATGTAGCATACATGTCTGTGTATGTGTGTTGATGTGTGTGTATGTTGCATACATGTGTGTGTATGTGTATGTATGTTGCATACATGTGTGTGTATGTGTTTTGATGTGTGTGTATGTTGCATACATGTGTGTATGTTGCATACATGTGTGTGTATGTGTGTGTATGTGTGTGCATGTAGCATACATGTCTGTGTATGTGTGTTGATGTGTGTGTATGTTGCATACATGTGTGTGTGTGTGTTGATGTGTGTGTATGTTGCATACATGTGTGTGTATGTGTGTGTATGTTGCATACATGTCTGGGTATGTGTGTTGATGTGTGTGTATGTTGCATACATGTGTGTGTATGTGTGTGTATGTTGCATTCATGTGTGTGTATGTGTGTTGATGTGTGTGTATGTTGCATACATGTGTGTATGTGTGTGTATGTTGCATACATGTGTGTGTATGTGTGTGTGTATGTGTGTGCATGTAGCATACATGTCTGTGTATGTGTGTTGATGTGTGTGTATGTTGCATACATGTCTGTGTATGTGTATGTATGTTGCATACATGTGTGTGTATGTGTGTTGATGTGTGTGTATGTTGCATACATGTGTGTATGTTGCATACATGTGTGTGTATGTGTGTGTATGTTGCATACATGTGTGTGTATGTGTGTGTGCATGTAGCATACATGTCTGTGTATGTGTGTTGATGTGTGTGTATGTTGCATACATGTGTGTGTATGTGTGTGCATGTTACATACATGTGTGTGCATGTTGCATACATGTGTGCATGTCTGTGTATGTGTGTGTATGTTGCATACATGTGTGTGTATGTGTGTTGATGTGTGTGTATGTTGCATACATGTGTGTGTATGTGTGTTGATGTGTGTGTATGTTGCATACATGTGTGTGTATGTGTGTGTATGACTAAGTTTAAAGTTGCGTATAGAAAAGTAAGAGAGTTATTGATATATGTATCTCTGGCTGCGGGAAAGTGCAAGTG